AAGCTAGAACTGTCAGCTGTCAAATGACATAGCAATAACATAGATGCGAATGACTCTAGTACTTCCAAAAATGAACTAGTGCCATCTGTTGCAAACATGTGTCATGACTTTTCTGACAACCCAATACTTTTAAGCCTTTCAGCCAGCAGAGCTAGGGAATATATTTATGTACTGTAATCCATGTGTATACACATACCTGTATTTCTGTAGCCATCTGTATCTGTATTACAGCTAAACACTAGTTCATACTGATGTCTGGACTCTAATCTGGTACCATATGGTTCATTCTAGCCTTTCTCCTCTTCTTATCTGTAACCTCCCTCTCCAACAGTGAGAAACCTGGCTTTCATCATCTACTGTCCATGTATTTATTCATTTGATCTTATTGTACATATATAGTGGTTTTGGGAGTGTTAATCTGTACCCCAAAAGAAGCAACTTGACCTACTAGACTAGCATTTATGTACAGTTTCTTTTGTCTTTAGCCTTACAGTTTCTAGCCATAATACTGTTTTCCACAGTTACTTAGGCGAGCATCTTTTTCTCCACTCCTTCAGTGAGGTTATGTTGTACATTTGTAATCCAGTTAGATGCTTTTATCACAGTCTGCATTCTATCCTAGGATTCCTCCACTGCTTCCCTCCTGGTTGATTTTTTTAAAATTGCATGCATTAAGTAAGGTTCACTCTGCTGTATAGTATTTTAAATGGCTAGAATTAACCTTATCTCTTTCTTCTTTCTCAGTGGAGGAGAACATCCTTCTTTTCCAAAAGAAAGTTTCTCAACACATCTGTAATGCAACTCTGGTTTAGGTCTCCTACCTTTCAGTTAACACCCCTTAGTCTCTTTTTGCATCTGTTGGCTCCTCCTTTCTCTGGTGGGCACTATCCTCTCTGCCTTTGTACCAATACCACATTCTTTTACTTATTCTAACTTTAAGACATGGTTTAATGTATAGTAAGTCTAGGCTTCTCTCAATACTTGGCCTTGTTTATTTTTCCAAATTCTTTTCCTTATCTGCTCTCCCCGACCTTTCTCAGCTTGAGTCACTTTACTAAGTTATAAAACCAACCAACCAACCAACAGCCAGCTCTATTGGCATTTTGATTAGAATTATAATACATTTATTAAATATTGTGGGATGAATCACTATCTTTATAATATTGAAATTTCTCATTTGGGAGCTATCTATATATATCTGTATATTCCTAGTTTTTCATGTATTAACCTTATAGTTTTGTGGATATCTGAATAAAGGTCAGTTTCTGGTTAATCTGAGAAACACTGTTTTTGTGATACGAACTTTTAAAATATAATTACCTGTCTTGTTGTTCATTCCTGTATCCTGTAAAGTTTGAGGCTGGTTTCTTTGAATATGCTTGCAAGGTGTTATTTGAATATTATTATGGCTTAGTCTGCCAATTTTATCAATGTGTTAGAATTATAAGAATTACTTTTAAAACAAATGATTACGCAGAAGCAGTTTCAATTCTGGTTTTTGAATTTTTTGTTTGTTTGTTTTTGTTTATTACTATTCTCAGAAATGCTTTCAGCATTCACCTTACCAAATGTACTCATCTTATAGTCCATCCTTCTATTATTGGTTTAGAATTTTATTGTTTTGGAAGCAAAGGTAAGAAAATCACTTCTCAATATTAACTTTTGCTGTGGAGTTACAAAAATTTTTAATGTAGACATTATTTACATGATTTGAATGTTACCAGAACCTTGAAANTTTTTTTGTTTTTGTTTGTTTTGTTTTAAGGGATGAGGGATGGCAAGGCTAGATTCCCCAAACTGTAATACAGGATGTTTGTCATGACTGCTTTCTAAGGCATGTGTTCTAGAGTCTATTACAGTTGAATGTTTAAAGATACTAGAAAAATAGACTCTCTGCCTCAAATTTTAAAAGCTTAATATATATTTTCAGAATTTGTTTAAAGTTAATTTTATAGCTTGAGTCCCAAAACTATCTCTAGTGACAAATAAAGGCATGAATTTGAATATTTTTTTCTAATCAAAAAGCTCATTCCTGATATACCGTTCTCCCCCTGCATCAAACCAGCGTTGTTTTATGTTACAATTTTTTCTCTTTAGCTGCAGACTAAACTTAGGTATGCTTTTCACTAAATGTGTTAGAATTAGCCATGAAGTCATCTGTGTTTTCTTTTAGAAATTTAAAATATCACCTTTATTATTGACTATTCTTTTTTAAGTTTGTTATTTTTGGAGGATAAGGTAGCCACACATAGTTAACTATGTGAATAGTTGATATAAATGATCAAATACAATTTTCTCACTGTATTTTTATTAGAGTTCACTATTGTGAAGTAAACTTTGGACAATCTAATTTATTTTTAGTGTGTACACAAGGATTAGGGTAGGGGTAGGGAGATATAAAGTAGGGTTTACAGAAGAAGGTAGGAAGCAGCTATATGACTTACTTCAGGAGGTAGTGACATTTTTGGTCTGAGTCTTCCATGAGTTTGGTTGTTCTCTGTAGTTGGAACTGCTAACCAAACTTCTGTCAGTTTTGGTTATCTGATTCACTAACGAGAAGAATCAAATTAGAATGAAGCAGAAGGATCACTTTGTTTTTTGTGGTTTTTTTTTTTTAAAGATTTTCATTGGGGAATTGGGGGAAGGGGAACAGACAAGTTGCTGTCTTTTTGTTCTTCAGTCTAGTTGTGGAGGACGTTGCTTCACTG